TGAAATTATATATACAGGGGTTACGGACTCGACTAGTTCTGATGAACTATATCTGTAATCCCCACCAAAAAAAAAAGAAAAGTTATCTAAGTAGAATTCGTTATTTATTTATTTATTTATTTGTTTATTTATTTATTTATTTATTTAATTATTTATTTATTTATATGTATTTACTACCTGTGCAACTTCTACCTTTACCGTTGTTTTTTGTTTTTGTTTTTTTGGTGAAATAAATTTCATTCAAATTTCATTCATTGTCTTTTTACTTTTTTGTTTTATAAAAAGTGAACACAATGACTGATGGTGTTATTTTATTTATAATTATTACAATGTAGAAACAAAATTAAAGTATATTTATGATCCTTGTACAACAGTTCCAAATAAAGTTAAAATGATTAAAATGTAAATTTACTGAAATTATTCATGCCTTCAATTCACTCTGCAAACAGGTCTTCTGTCTTATACTGTGGTACAGATTGCTTGTGAAATGTGCATTGCTAACACCAGAACTATCTCAGCCTAGGGGCTGCTTGTCTTGCAAATCTCATATACTGTATTTCCTCATTCAATGATTCTTTAAATTGGCAGGGATGGAAATGTTGAAGAAACATTTTGTAAAGATGCTGAAATGAGAGTAGCAGAAGAAGCAATGAAAGAGGTATTATTTTCTGCTACCTACCTCGGTATATTTAAATATAGTAGGGTTTTACTACATTATAAGTAACTGTTAACATTTTTAAGATATACTTGATCTTTGCCCATCTTCGCTCGTTGCTTATATGTGCTAGTGTAAAGTGATACATGTGAACAATATGCCCTGTTCTGTCTTATTTAACCAAATGGAGATGGATCAAATGCATTGCTGATGGTTTCTTCTTTTCTGAATCGAGTAGTACCGGTAGTTGCTGATCTGTGGAGTTCATCATCTCTGCTAAAGATAGCACCATTCATTTTCTGGTACTTATTATAGAAAAAAAATCTCCAAAATGAAACCAATTTTGTGTCATAAATATGAATAAAAGAAGTGATTACTGATATCAAACTAGCTAATCTAAAATAGTGTTATACATGAATGCATTTATTATAGGTTATGTCATTAGACATGCAGATGAATGACGATATTTGTTATGAAGAGGACATGCTATCCCAATTATCAAATATTTCCCAACTCACAGGTAGCTCTTATATTTGCATTTTAAGAACCAAGGTCATCATATGAAAATTTCTGCTTACAATTCTTTTTTTTTTAATCTGTATGAAATATGTTTTGGCCGTTCTATGCACATTTTGAACATCTGTTATCAGTTAGCTAAATCAATAGTATAAACATGCAGCCAGTAAAAATGAAGAGGTGTTAAAAATGGGTTAAGTACTGGAAAATCAAATTCTGCATAGGTATGTCACTAACGTATGATTTTTGGTTCATTTAGTGTATGTTTATTTTTCAATGTTTTCTACCAGGGATGGAAGTACATCTTCACCCATTCTCATAAAATTCCTCTCATTGATCGATCATCAATAATTTTTATTAATAATTTTTTATAATTTTGGTTAATTTTATATTCTTCCATTTACTGCTACAGGTGGTTGTAATTCAACCATGACACAGAATGGAAAAGACATGCGAAGTATGATTAATCCAACAATAGAAATGCTATCATTTTCTAGTGATGATCAGGTATATCACCATTACATTTTTTTTATCATAAAATTGCTAGTAATGCTCCTCAAACTAATGTACTCATTTACATAAATTTTTTTGTGACAGATACATTCCTTGCTTTTTGTTCTAGGGCAAGGCTCCAATGTGGAAGAACCAAGCATCTATGAAAGGTGCTGCCGATACAATTCCAAACCAACCCTCAAAATCTATGGCAAAGTCCAATTCTACTCGTCATCAATCCGACACAAAAATTATCTCAAAACAACTGCGAAAAGGTGATGGAACACAAGAAATAACAGGGTTTGACCAGTCTGTCAACACAATAATCGACAGTGAAGCTGAAAAGAATAAACCCAAAGAAACTAGGGAGAAAGAGGACATTCCTAGTCAAGGCAATCTACCAGAATCTTGTAGTGAAACAAAAAGTGCCTCTAAACCGACCATTGAGGACAGCAGTGTCAACACAGCAGAAACAAATTCAATACAAATGAATGGTAATTATGCAAGAAAAAGTAGCACAAACCCAGTTGACATTCTGAAAGCAAATAATGACGGTGATTCACTAGATAATTCTAAGAAAACTAGTGGTATAACTAATGTGAATGTAAACAACAGCAGCAGTTTGAACAAATTTGTGGACACGCCTATGAAATGTACACCAGAAAAACATTGTGAGCTCTTAATAAAAACAAATACCGGTTGTATGCTAGAATCAAACAAAGAGGGCAGCAGGGAACTCATGACAGAGATTAGGAACAATTCCGCAACTAATGAAAAGCAGGATTCATATAACAGTGAAGATTATCAACAGAGACTAAATAATGATCGAATGGATGCATGTAACAAAACCACCTCAGGTCCCGGCAATTGTAACTTACTAGCCATACCATTGCAGCAAAGTAAAGGAGAACAAATAGATACAGTTTCTGTAACAATACATGAAGTACAGACAGAGACGACCAACGTTCAGAGTATTTCAGTACAATGTGACCAATCAATTTTCCATGTGACTAAAACACAAGATGCAGGAATACAGTGCAACATGAAGGAAGAACTGCAGATCAAGTCCACAGAGCACAAGGCAACACAAACACTACAGGATAATGAAGACAATAATTTATTGGATGTCTCATCACCTCATGTTGACAACGAAATGCAAGTTGAATCTACAGAGAATTCTACTTCATTTGAAGTAAAGTATAACCTAAGGACAAGAAAACCAACATAAGTCTCATAATATTTATGTCAAATTTGTTTGTACAGTATCAGAATATTTTGAATTGCAAGGAATATTACACCAATGTTAATACAGAAAAAAGAAAGAAAAAGACACTTTAAAAATTTATTTTATTTGGTATTTATTCACCAACCAATAGCCCAGCAGCAGTGATTTTGTGGACATCAATATTAATAGTACTTGTTGAAATATAATTTTAATATTTCCTGAAATATCAATAAATACTGAGAATAATTTAGCTTAATCCTACTGGTATTCAGAATATTCATTTTTTTTATTTCCTTTAAGTAGTTGGGGGTGACCATAATTTAATTTTCATGACGCAGCACATCAGTTTATTGGTAGGATGCACAGTCAGAAATATAAAAAATATAAACAGATTTAGTAGTGTCCTATCTGTTGCTGTATATTGTGGAATATATTTTTCAACCAAAAATTTAAACAATATTGCATGACCTGACAACAAATAATGACTCTTTTAGTTATTAAGATTGTTTTTAATAGCAACAAAACAGGGTTGATAGGGTCATGAGTTATTAAGAATTACAGTCACCCTAGTGGTTATGAAAATGTCATGAGTATCAACTACAATATATATAACTGCTATCACAAAATATGGTATAAATCTAATACATTAATTAATTAATGCAGATTATAACCTACAAGATCTAGAATCTTCAACTCACCAAAATTAACTACTTCACAATAGTATACAGGATGTACATGTGCAACAAATTATAACAAAAATACAATAAATATTTATCTAGTTCTCAACTTAATTTCAGGTTAAATGCATAAATGAATGTTCCAACAGATTACTTTAACCTGCAACAAAAATGCACTATTAATGAACAATACTATTTTCAAAACGAAAGCAGCAATCAAGCATGAACACAATAGACATGACACTTAATAAATTAAATCATATTACAGTAAAATGAAAAAAAAATACTTGTACTGCTATATTAATGATGTAGTAGACTTTTAAGGAAACATCCTTAAAGTCCCTTTAGTTTTTTTTTTTTCTTTTTCGTCAACAAATTGGATTCTCTCCAAGCACCATTACATTAAAAAGATGTACATGAAAGTACAAACCTAAAAGCTCATATGAATTGCTAAAGCCCCTAAAATACAATGTACATGTGTATATAGATTTGTGTGGTTGAACAACCACTTTTATAAGTAGAACAATTTGAAGCAATTAGTCATAGGACAACATGATCTAAATGATGCTAGGTTGTACATGTATATGAATATTAATTAAAATCAAGGTAAAAATTACTTGCATGATAAAATCAATTACCATCTACTTTTTTTCCATTACATTTAACACAAATATTGACATTACTTTTTATTAAAAAAATTATTAAAATGCATGTCAAGCAGCTTAGTGATGAAGATTATCCCAAATTTCATAATTGTTTTCTAATTAATGGGGCATTTTGAAAAGATTTAACATGAGTGTTGCCTCCGGCTGTATTTATTTTATTTGATGTCTATACACTACAGCAAGTACATGTTCAAGTACATCACAAAAAGTGAAACAAATGCAAATTGTGAATTCAATAGAAGAAAGGCAGTTTATTCATGAAAATCTAGTGTAGATTAATCATAAAATGTATCAGTTCACTCAAACTGAAGAACACAAAATAAATATGGAATAAATCAAATAGGTAAAATGTATTTCAAAGTAATGTGTAGCTCAACTGCACTACATCTCTGTCAGTTGTTAAAATCTTGGCAACACACAAATTGCTTCTTCAGGGAGAAAACTAGAATAAAAAAAGGTTGGGGGGAGGGGGTAAGTAAATACAATAAAAATTGAAGTGGATAAGCCGTATAGTATACATAGAACAAGTAGCTTCTTCACCAGCCAAGGTTTATTCATCATTATACCTTGTCATAATTCTCACTATAAACCTGTATTCACAGTCGAGGAAATCAAACACAACATTTCATGCTCCTGTGCCTTTGGATGGTAAATGAAACACAGAATCCAGGGTTGTCATGAATTTCCATGAATAATTGAGGCAAAACCATGTGTTTTTGTCAGTTAAGCGGTGACGTGATACAAGACGTCAAAATCTATTGGTTAAAATTTGAATTTGCATAAAGCCTTATGATTTTAATACCTAGGAGATGCATAGTTGAGCTACTTGTTACTTTACAATATATTTAGCCATATTACTGGTGTGCACTCTTGCTTTAATATTCAGTTATTTTGACAGTAGTCATAGTTGGACTGATTCTGTTTTTACATACCCAGCTACAATGATCAACATTCAATGGATAAATTTACAAGAAATACCGGTACATAATTTACTTCCACACATCATACACGTTTATGTGGAATGTGACACAGATATTGCAACAAACCTTAAATTTGTAAACTAACAAAGAGATTATAAATGAAAAGAAAAGAAAATTTTGTTGTGAAGTTTTGATTAGGAGAAGCCACTGACACAATTAGTTTTAAGAGTAGGGGTAGAAAGCTGCACACATGCGGTGATAACAATGATTGCTTAAAAATGCAAAAGCTAATAAGTAGACGCTTGTTTGTAAACAATGATACTCTATGGTTGCCTGCCACATGCGCAGGTGCCGACTTCCCTGCTTGAATTTATCAGCCAGAATCATAAAAACAAATGGTATTTTTAGAAATAGCCATAGAGGGCAGCAGCGAAATTCACATTTTTTGTGATGCGCCAATAGCAGAAATTGCTTTGGGTAAAAACAAAAGCATGATTATCCAGGCAAGAACAGCAGTCGAATTGTGATATGATTCAATCTGGAAACATCTTTATTGCAACATTATTCTCCATCCGAGACATCTGTATCTGCTGCATTGTGACCTTTTATTTGTATGTACTTAACCTCACGTTCAAGCTCCACTGTGCCACAGGCACACCAGGGCTTTGAAAATAACTGTATTACTTCCTCTAATTTCTTGCCCTTGGTTTCCGGTAAAAAGACAAATATAAAGAAAAATCCTAGAAGTGATAGTCCACTATATAAGAAGAATGCACCTGTAAGAAAACATAACAAATAAATGTATTGTATAGTGAGAATCAATACATACATTAGTCCTTTATTTTACTATCTATATATACTGTAAAACACATCTTTTTAGCTAGCATGTCATTTTAGCTAATTTAGCTAATCTGTAATTTCACCAATTCAAGATGTCCCTAATTTAGAATAAAGTATATTCTCACAATGAGATTGTTGGCCTTTTTAGCTAAATTGAGATTTCAAATTGGCTAAAATATGACATGTAGCTATTTCAATGTGTTTTACAGTATATCATTTATTGCCATATTCGTCCGACTTAGAACCCAGGGTACTCAAGCTCAGAACAATCATGTTTTTTTACAAAGCAGTAAAGTCTCATAAAGCAGTTTGAATTAATGAATGGGGATACACATGTACTTATAACTGCAAGACCGCTTACCATGCCTTGTTAGCGCATCAGTCAATGTTAGGAATGTCATTGAGATGAGTAAGTTACAAATCCAGTTAACAGCACTGGAGCAAGCGTTACCAGTACTTCTAGCCCAATTAGGATAAATCTCGGCATTTATAACCCATGGCATTGTACCCATTCCTACAAAGAGAAAATAATTAATATAGAATAAAATAGAATAAATAATTATGTAACATATAAAATGCATACCAAGCAACAACAATTTTCAAATCAAATATTCAATTGCAAAAACTTATACTTGGAGGAATAATCAGTGATTATATTACAACTAGGTTGTACAACAAATTTCTTGCTAGAGTGGCAATCAAAAGGATGTCAAATCAAGTACTGTTGATATCCTAAGGGTACATAAATTTGACTGCATCTTTCTACTAAGCAGCAAATGGGAACCTGGTAAAGGAGTTATAAAAAAGTGTTGATATACTTACCTGGAGCAAAGAAGATGAGATAGAGTACAAGACCTGCAATGCCCATCCAAGAGTAAGCAGTGGGACAAAAATCATAGGCAAATGTAAACTGAGTGCTATTTCCACATCTAGTCCATTTCATTGGTTCGTCCATAGTTCTAGTAATGGGATCACATGATCCACTACCGTTAACAGCTGTATTATGAAGATCTAAATAACAAAATCCACATCCATGGTCTGATATGCAATCATTGCATGAACTGAAAAAAAAAAATTAATAATAGAGTGATGTCTTACTGATGTCTTACTTTAATACTAGGGAAGATGGGTGAGTATAAGTAATTGGTAGTAACTAATAAACTGGTTTTCATGTTTTTTTTCTGGTTCATGTTGATATTAGGCAATTCCTACCAACAAGTGTGTTTAGCCTCTGCATAGCATATGAACACCTGAGACTGAGTACATTGTGGTTGTCACAGTTGCGATGCTTGTTTTCAGCCAAAGTAGCTCTCTAGGTAGATCTGTCACTTCAGTGCAAACAGACTTGAGACGAATCTGAGACAGTGTGTCTGCAATGGTCTTGTATCTGCACTCCAGTAGAATGTGGGGTGCTAAACACACTAAATGAGAATCTTTACAGTATGGTTGTAAAAAAACAGTAGTGACCATGTGTAGACACACCTCAACAAAATTCAATCTGTCTTCAATGTCTAGCAGGAAGAAAGGCTAGTAGTTGATGCTAAATAACTGCCATCAGCTTCTACTACTTGATGTGTCTGGCTGATAGACTGATAGAGCCTAAAAGTCTCTGCAGTCTGCAGATCCAGCATGTGTGCCCCCTAATTAGTGTTCAAAGCGCCGTCAAAAAAAATGAGACAGTTGGGTGCAGTGGGAAGAAGACATCCCGCCCAACAATTGGGTAAGACAGCAAATATCATGCTACTTACTGTCATAAGATGTGTACTTCTGAGTTGGTTATTCCACGGATCTGATTGACCAGTGGGCTGAATTGTGTGTGTGTTTATTTGAAGCATTGTTTAGGATGCAGCATGTGCGTCAATTTCATGTAAACAGAAAATGCATTTTACACCCATTGTGATCATCACATGGAACCCATATCAAGACTTTTTTTTTTGTACGTGTTTGTAAATAACACAAAATTCATTCAAGACTAAATGGTCTTGACCACAATATGACAAAATATTGATAGCACAGTTCAATTAAAAAAGATGAGAGAAGAAAATTCCCTATAAAAGGGTTGAGATACATACTATATAATGTTACCACGTACTGGATAATTTATGGTCACCAAGGAAAATATATGGTGACTAACTAGTGGCAGCTCAGAGAGCTGACACTGAAGAGTCACTAAATATTTCAATTTACACACAGTACATAGCTGATTTATTGAATCAATATGAAAACAGTTCAGTAATGTATTCCATGTATTACATTAACCAGTGTGACACTCAGTTATTCTATCATGCTTGACAGATCATGTATATACGTCTGCTGATCCCGATAACTATAAGGTTTCACGTGAACAAACAAACCAACATCAAATATAATTAACATAATGCAAGAATGGTATTATTCATTACACGTAGATATTAGCCAGTAAAAGACCTGGTCTTGTGATCCTTTATAGGGTTAATGTAAATTAGAGCAGACATGGTTGCTTACAATATCATAACGTATTTCACAGATATTATAAAGCAATTTACTATTCATAAATGAAACTTAGAAATATTGTATAAATAAACTGGCTCTAAAATTAGGTAAAACACCAATCATTTTACGCTGTTAGTTCCTTGTTCAGAAGGCATTCTACACAGGATTTTATTGCATCCAAGGACATTCAATTTCAAGCTAGTTGGAACCTGAAATTATGCGGAAGAATTCAAACTTCAAACACAAATTTGTTTTATCTTTATTACCGGTATGTGAATTTTGATTGGCATTAACATTTCACTCACTGAACAATATTTCACTAAAATATATGATAGGATTAAAACAAATTAATGTGAATAAGGAACAGATATTATGATAATATACAAAACAAGTAGACCCCAACCAATCTCATTTGAGCAAACTTATTGTTATTCCCATTACATTTGGAGAAGTAGGTAGTTATCAATAGATAATAAATTATTAAGTAAGAAATTGGTGATTGGCGATAATTCATTGCCCATTAATCACTAATTATTATTACAATTATGATAATTATAATAATTATAAGTATTATTTAATAAATACCTGCCATGACCAATTCTTAATAATATGCTAAAGGTTTATGAATATGTTTTTAAAATCGATTGAAGTTTATCCCATTACATATATATGTACAGTGCAGTTGCAGGTGTCCTATTAAATCCAGTCTAAAACCAACATACTACCAGCCCAAGTAATTATGTTCTATTTAATTTTTCTCATTTAAATATACAAATCAATACAGCAGAGTCAGATACAGAGGTTGACCCATTCATGAGTACACATAAACAGTGAATGGAAAAACAGAATAGACAGACTCACCTATAACCACTACAATTAACATGTGTTGAAGATTTCACATAACTATGACTAATCGGTGGGGAATCTAATGACGCCAAAAGGAATCCCGCGGCTAAGAATAATAGACTAAATATAACACCTGCAAAATACGAATAAATTAATCACATTGTGACTTCAATTTAAAAAGTTCATGAACTCAAAAACAGCTTGAAGAATAGTTAATAGTCGGTGATCTAGAGAAATAAGTGCCAAAGCAGTAACAGTCTAAAAATAAATCTCTTACAACACAAATCACTATTAAGCAAGGAAATGCACAGTTTCCTTTCTAGTTAATCTCACCAGGTTAGCATTATTATTAAACTCCCTACTGACTTAAACCTGTTTCCCTATCTTTGATAATCGCTGGTAGATTAGCTTGTCTACAATGAATATAAAGTAGCTTTGTATATAGGTATCAAGCAATCAATAAAATCTCAGTGACTTTAGCATTGAAACATTGAACTGAACATGCACTTATGTATTGAAAATATTCCTAACCAGTACACAATCACTGTTTGCATGAAAATATACTAGTGGAAAATAAGTAGAGATCCAGCAGAAAATAAGTTTAGGTCTAGCAGAGATGTGAATCTGGTTGCCATGGAAATAATTTTCGGTATGATTTTTATTCATGGACTTTCCTAACATTTCAGAAAAAATTGAATGCCCATGAAAACCAGTACCAGTCTGTAAGATGTTGGGGGTTCAGATCTTGTTGTCATGGAAACAGAACGTTGTCAGATACTCAAAATGTTAACAATGAATTTTCTTGATATTCTTCAGAATAGGTATTGTCCTTCGAAATTTAAACCAAGCAGTTTGATTTCAGGAGAGATCTGGATCCAGTTGCTATGAAGACAGTGAAATTGCTAGGATTCTTCACCATTGCCAAATAGGGTTAATAATAATGAATAAACAATTCATGACTCAATTTTCTCTTTCTTTTCAAAAAAAAAAAATAAGCAATATGTAAATATGACAAATGTGCTTTTTTGTCATTATAAACATACAATAGGCTTGAGGTATTAGTTTAATATCAATAAATTACATACCGGTAGGTGGGTGATCAAGGTTTGTGCTCTTGGAGAGCCTTCTAGGTAAATTAATGTAATTTATCATTTGCGATATTGCTGTTAGTCAAATAGTGTGTGCTGGTATACACATTTTTTGGTTTTAAATAGATTATGTACAGCATTAGCTATAGCCGCCTGTTTTTTTGTCTTTTTTTATCACAGTACATGTATCCTGACAGGATTTACCTAATATGCACATATTAATATATTTGACGTCAGTATTCTAAATATAGTTGTATGCAGTACTTGTTGGCATCATTTAGATGATGCTTGTAGGAGTTTTGAAATAATCTAGTGCCATCAGAGCTAAGTTTGAATGACACACATGCAATAAATTGATTGGTATCCATGGTAATATTAAATTACATGAAATATATAATCCTTACCCATCATACTGCCTAAGCTGAGTTTTCTACGACCAATTTTTTCAACTAGATAAAGTCCAACACCAGTGAATAAAAAATTTGTGAATCCTACAACAGCAGCCAACCATATGGCAAAATTATCATCTTTCACACCAGACATTTTAATGATTGTTGCACTGTAGTACCTGTTGAATAAATTATCAAAGCATGTCTTAGTTACGTTGGACCAATCTTAAGTCAGTTTATATTTTAAAGGGCGGTAGTTGTCGCGTCATGTATGCGCAAGATATATGGGTCTCATATAAACAAAGATGGCAACTTTGATTGTACAACAGATCAGATTAATTAGATATTTTTTTTAGGTGATTGGAAGGTATTGAAGGAGTCACTGGTGGTAATTGGTGCAAGTCGCACCCAGGTCAAATCTCATACTTGACGTTTCCATTAGAAGTGCACATTGGATTATAGGAAAATCAATGTTTATCAACACAATTGTCAAACATGCGCAGCGCAACAATCACCGCCCTTTAATAAATGTGTGTTTCACTGTTGCATGATCTGATATTGTATAATATTGTATTGTACAATATCAAACAAATATCAACATTAGAATAAACATGTGTATGAGGGTCCTGGATTGCAGAGGTACTGTGAAATACTTTAGCTGGAATTAATTTAAAAGAATTTTTGGGTGTTTTGTATGGAATTTATTCTCACTGATTTTTGACAAGTTGAATGTTAAATATAGGAAAAAAGGTATATTCGCTGGATTTTGTTTTCACTGAATCATTCCTTCAGCGAAAATAATGAAAATTAATTTCAAACAAATTTTTTTTTACAATATATATCAGCCTGGAAAATGTGCCAAGAGTGGCCATATAATTCAGCAGAACCTATACAGATTCAATGCAGTACTACAGAAATTAATAAATGATTATTGTCAAACCTTATTTCTCAATTATTTTTTTTAGCATTCATTAATGATGACAGTCAAATAGATTCAATTCTTTCACATCATAACAGTATGTAATGGAAAACAAACTAACATCAGAACAAAACACATCAATCAATTGTATATAAATAAAATTGGAAACAAATTAATACAAAAACAAGACAAAGTTTTCACCCCCCCCCCCCTCCCTTCCTCCCCAGTGGTGAATAAAAGATGTTCAGTTTCTCTCTTTCAATTTTTGTTTTGTGCAAAAATTCTTTTTATGTACCAGAATCACCAGTTATTGAAGCAAAATATTTGTAACGTTTGTGTGATGCATTTATAAATAGGTAATCCAAAATTAAATTCCATACGAGGGAATTTGACACAGTAACAAATGTTATACTTAGAAATAAGCAGTGCAGCTAGCTCACACATGCATTATGATCCAGCTGTAGTGACGGAAGAAGAATTCATAAAAATATACCATATTCAAAGTACTTCAGGTTTCCGATTAAAAACCTTGCAGTATATAGTAATCACTACAACTGAGCAAAATTTTAGAAAGACTGACTTTGGGGAAACCCTTGAAAGATATAGCATCATGTAATCATTGTCTCATATTCCCGTTTCTGCTCCCGGCTATTTCTTGTTTTTCAACCTTTCCTTCGTATATAAAGTCCGTCACGTACTCATAGACTCCCTGAAGATGATTTACAATGACAAATATAACCTGACTCACATAACAGTATTAATGCCGGCTAACTGCTGAAACATTTGCATACCGCATCCAACGATTAATGCTCTTCTGACAGCAGGCGTCTGTATCATTTGAACTAATACAGCCTTTTTACCTGCAAAGCATACAAAGAAAGCATGCACTGAAATAATATTTCATAGTACAGAAGCACATTGAAAACACATAATTCAAACTATGTTGGGATAACATATCTGTCTGGTGTCTCATGCCCCTTAGACCAAAGCAATTTTTACAGGAAAAAATCCAATGATACTAAATACAAGACTTTCCCTGAAAAATGTAAATGAGTAATTTAAAAAAGTTTTATTTTTTTCCATTTCAAAATATTATTCAAATGATTATTCATAATCAATGTATCAATGTATTTAGTTCTAATAAATCATTTACATAAAATTTGGGGAATAAAAAAAATCAGGAATGATGTCTATCGGTATATACTGATTCAAATGTCAGGTGAAATTTCCCATTCTGGCCACGAGGAGCGTTGCTTAAGCTTAAGACATATAGAAGTACCCTAATTGTACCCACAAGCTATTAAAATTCATTGACGCAAAAGGAATTAGAATGGCCAAGATTTCTCTCAGTTAACAAAGTTAAAAGTAGATGGCAATCTCTTTTGCCATAACCTGATCGACAAGATCGGGGAGTCGATTGACAATAAACCATTATACTATTACATAATTTCTGACAATAGTACATTTCCTTTTCAAAATTTGTTTCTAGTTTTATATTGTGTTAGTGTATCACACATTTTTTGAATTTGGTTTTGCTAAAATATTGCGAAAATGAAAACAAATTTGTTACCACACCATTTTTTTGAGCATTTCTGGACCAGAAGTAAATATTTTATTCTTAAAAGTCAAATATTTTCACTGTATTGGCGCAAGTATTATATGAAATAAAATTTAAATAAAGTGAGAGAGGAAAATTTGATGACATGAAAAACCGCTATTAAATGATAACATCAAGACAACAGTCAGTTTATCACAATGGACTTTAAGTTGTCATGTTAGTAAGGTGAAATATCTTTATTTCAAAATCAGAAACTCATTATTTCAGGCAATTAAATAAAATAATTAGTCTAAGTGATCTATTACTATAACGACACTAATAAATTGAAAAAACAATCAATACTACTCGTGGATATCACACCGTGAAATCCCAGCTGTCAAGGATGACAAATAAAATGAACTGCGAAAATAAAAAAATGGAAATTCAACAAATTTGAGAATCCATATTCTCTGCAAACATTCCATTTGTAATAGCACTATATATTTTCTGTTATTTTCACATATAGAGCCACATGTACTATTAAATAATTGAATATAATTTGACATGCTAGTTGGAGAGCAGTTAGTATTTATAGCCATGCTCCTTTTAGTTGATTTTATTAATTAATAATTAACATCCATCTGCAGGAATTGAATTACATGTGTGTGGTATGTGGTATGTTATTGAAATGTATGTATGGTACTAGTTCTAGTCCCACTAAGCAATTGTTATGTATTTGGGGCTAATTTACATCACTGCACATTTTATAGTGTTGGAAAACCAACCACTCAACTGTGGATATGCCATGTCTAACACTGAATTGGAATATAGCTTTACATTACTATTTCATTAAACTCACCAAGCATATCGTTGAAACATGTGTAATTCTCAGATTTAGTTCTTGCAGATATGTTAGTGCAATGTTAGTGTACAAAACTTAAAAGCATTAAACACCGGCTCAGCAATTTCTCAATTAATTAATAAACTAATAAATAAATCATTTTTTGTAGATAAGTCTTAATTAAATATTGTTGCAGTAATAACTAAGATGAAAACAGATTTATTATAATTATATATTTTTTAACAATTAAGATTTTAATAAAGACCTGTAAACTGCTGAAATCAGTTTTTTATCAGTTTCAGCACTTCAGAACCCAATACAATTCTAAATTAACTGATTTTTGTTGAAAAGATGTAACAAAATGAAGGCCCATAATACAAACTGAAAAATGCGACTGTGTTGCAGTTTGTATATGTTCAATAACAGAATGAAGATACCTCTGGCTTGCATTTCTTCTTTTTGTTCTTCAATATTGCGCTGAATTTCATCCAGCTCCTCATCAACCCCTACACCTGCACGCATGAGTGATAACACTCTCCTCGCTTCTTCTTTTCTTCCTTTAGTAATAAGCCAGCGAGGACTCTCAGGTAGAAAGAGGAATCCAATAAACTGAATTAATGAAGGCACACCTGCCAGACCAAGCATGTACCTGTCGGAATTATGAAAGCAATTTACATGTATAATTTAAATAAGCAGCCCTTCGGCTGAAATAGCTCCGCTATTAGCAAAGCACATTTTAATTGAAGAACTGAAGATATCACCACAAAATGAACAAATCTGAGAGAGGACCACCTGTAGTATCTATATGTATAATATTCAATCAATCAGACATGCGGTTTTTAACAATAAGTCCAAAATATCACTTTTTACTGAAAATCACATGAAAATTCATCGAAATTAGAGAATTGAAGATATCATCATGAAATAAACAAATCTGAAAGACGTCCACCTGAGGTACCAACATGTATAATATTAAAGCAATTTGACTTTCAACAAAGAAGTCAAAAATATCACTTTTTACCAATATTAACAAAAATAATCACTAAAAGCAGAACTTAAAAAAAGTCACTGAAAATGTGATCTTATGTGCTGGAAAGAGTAATATGTTGAATGAAACAATTTCATGCAATTACAGATGAAATTTATTTGGTAAATAGTATGGTGATTTTAATATGATGGAATATTCTGCAGTATTTTCTTCAAAAAACAAAGGCCGAAAACTCCCAGAAAATAGTACTTTGGAATGGTTGTTGAGACTCCCCTGAACAGTGTAACAAGATTACCCCTGCATGTGTAACGCATATACATTTGATTGTTCAGGATTACTTACAAGTTGAGTTCCTGTTGTTTATTTGAATTTTCACCGGCTCTTCGCTCGGTGTTCCTCAGCAGTGTGTGCAGAGCCCATAGAATTATGTGGAATAGTGGTGCGCCTCTTAGCAACGTGGAACGTCTTGTGACGTAGCTCCGTCCCCAAGGATTATTATTTTTGTACATGCACTGATAATTACACTCCACTGTTTTAATCTGCTGCCAAATCACTGCACTAGCTCATACAACGTAAACAACTTCTCTAGTTTATAAATAATTTAATAACATACATGGCTTTGTTGACTCCATTATAAGTGCACGAGTTGGCATGAAAGACCTACATGTAATTAAACAAGTGACTTGATGGTTGAAATTAACTCCGCTGTCCTACAAGAATATTGTGGAATCCAAGCAATGCACACACATAAGACAAAACTCAGTTAAAGCATAGAAAAAGTAAAATAGTTCTGGTTAAGAAAATGCCAACCTAATTTCATCAAAAAAATTGTTCACAAAAATTATCGGGTATGTACACCTCAAATATCAAAGCAATCCGGCTGGTAGTTTCCAAGAAAAAGTCGAAAATAACATTTTTTACCAAAAATGATGAAAATATTTGCTCAAAATAGAGAATTTATGATATCATCACAAAATCATACAGTTCCCCAAAACGGTTAATTATTTAATTAAAAGAAGTGCTTTAATTTATCATAACATAATAATTTTTTTGAAGAATACGACAATAACTATTCATACCTCCATCCGTTTTCTTTATCGTAACTGAAGGCGCCATCTAATACACATGCGATAAATTGGCCACCAGTGATAAACATACTGTTAATCAATATAAGACGTCCACGCATATCAGCTGGGGCTGCCTCTGCTATGTACATAGGAACTGTCATGGAGGCTAAACCTGTAAATGGAAAACATTAGTTATTGATATAAAGTCTGCAGACATAAGAGATGTAATATAGGTGTATTCTCGCAAGTTATAAAAGAACCAGACAAATTTGAAAGAGGTCTACCTACATATGTATGATATTAAAGCAATCTGACTTGCGGTTTTCAACAAGAAGTTGAAAATATCACTTTTTACCCAAAATGACGTAAATATTCATCAAAATTAGGGGATTGAAGGTATATCATCACAAAATGAACAAATCTGAGAAAGGTCCACATATAGTACATTTGTACCTATATACAATATCAAAATAATCGGACTTGCAGTTTTAAACAAGAAGTTGAAAATATCACTTTTTACCAAAAATGACAATAATATTCATCAAAATTAGAGAATTGAAGATATCATCATGAAATGAACAAGTCTAACAGAGGTCTACTCAAGGTACATATACACCACGTGTCAAGGTTTGTAGTTTTCAAGAAAAGGTTAAAAAAGTAAAAAGTTGACGTGGACGAAAGACGACAGACAATCACTCATATGATAAGCTCCGCTCGACAAAGTCAACAACGGAGCTGAAAATTAGTCATGGATAGAAAATGGATGGATGCACATAGAGCTCTTCTATGGCAATACAGTAAGTTTATAAAAAATAAGAAAACGATATCACATCATAAACATGGAAGATAAACAATACATTGCACATTGTTGCATAAAGGCCAACAAATAGAAAAAAGCAACAAAACAAACAAAAAGGTATTTTAAATTATTAAAAACTATAACTGGGCTAAATTAAGAATATAAATGTTATAAAGGGCAATATAAGATGTGCATATACAGTAATACATATTATGTGACACTGATTTCTTAGAATTCCACACTAAACTACAATATAAATCCCACGCAGTTCCCCTCAGGAATATTAATAATCAGATATGTTCGATATTCTACAAATGACTGCAAGTACTGACTATATACCTTTTTTTTAAGTTGAGCTGTGTCATTGACTACTAGAGTTAAATTTTCATACAAAAACTGTGCAAAAGATGAGGACACTTGATGTCCATTACAGACCCAGAAGATCCATAATTACTACACTGACATTTGAAATGGGATTGCCGGCATAACATGCAATTTCTTCAAGGCTACATACATATGGGAACTGGATAATAAACATGAAATGCCAAAATTCTCTCCAAGTGGAATTGAGTAAAGACAGTTTTGAAAATAATAAAAAATCCAATTTGCAGTTTACGATAAAGTAGATCTATACATAAACTAGCAGCCAAGTTAAATTCCAATTAATGAACAAAATTCTGATTGAGGTGAATATCTTTAAAATACAGTACTCAGATCCTTGATCACTAAAACAAATATATATGTGCATATGTGGTAAAATGTGAATGTCATCATTAGACCAGCTTTCATTAAAACACCAGTCAGCCATTTTTAATTTGATCTGCAAAATGAGATGCATCAAGGTCCCATTCTGTTCAATGTATGTATCTAATTTGAATGACATTTACCCATGTACAACTGAGGTATAGTTTCAAAATTACAAAAATGCTTGATTGAATACATTTTTAGCTTTAAAATGGCCACCATTCGGCCATCTTGAATCAGATCTTGAAACAAATCCGGTGCATAGACGGGACTCTGAACTCAAAAATTAATAGAATTTGATGGAAGTCTACTTGGCTACCTAAATCCCATGGTACATTGTAATAGTCCCATGGTATTATTTGGTAGTCCATCAGTTTTAGTCGTAAATAGAAATAAATACATATCATTTTGCTTAATCTGTAGGACATCAATAGATAAATTGGTTTGTTAGAAAACAAAGGACTAACATTCTGTAAATTTCAAGTAGTCAGTTGAGGCTAGCGGGTACTCATTTTTGAAAATGGTAGTCCCAGGAGAAGACTAAGGTACCCTGGGCTTTGAGCCCTGTTATTTACGTAACATGATATATGATTTATGTACAAAGTTTAATTGTGATTGGTCCATGTATATATACGATACAGGTACAAATGACTGTCAGGTACTGCCAGGCTTAATTACCACAAGAAGCACTGCAAATACAATAATAAGATTTAAACAGTTTGTCATTAAGAATGACAGTCAACTAACAAGTTTAATATTAACAACATGGTATTCAAACCTATTCATCATTAATGAGTAATACCATACATGTATATGCCATACACTGTTACATGTACACAAGCTAGGATACGAAGTAGCCCTAAAGCCCAGAAAATCTATTTCCCAAAAGATTACAACACTTAGAATGACTTGAGGGCATCAATTGAATAATCTGTTCATGTGCCAACAAGAAGCATTACAGTATTTGGAAATTCCGCCTCAAACATTTTTTTTTTATTGATTAATAAAAAATGTGTGTTGGCATTCGACAATTGAAAAAACAAAACAAATGTACTTTTGAGTCACTGAAGAGATAATAATTCAGTGTACCGGTATATTTTATTTTATTTCTCTATTATAGGTATTTTCTGGGGGTAATGTTATTCTATTAACAGTAATAAATTCCAATTATATATCACAGTTTTGTCATGTTAACCTGTTTTTTTCTTCATTTCTTCAAAAAAAAAAAAAAAGTATGTGCAACTGTTTTAGAATTCATACATAAGTCACACTGCTACAAATACTAGTACATTCATGCTAGACAACTAGGAATGAATTCTACTGTCTGGCACACAAAAGATATAACTCAAGATAGATCACCATGCTTAGAGCCCATAGCAACAACCATTGCCAAGGATGGAGAAATTACATTTAATCAGAGAAATCACTTTTGGTTCTCTATCCAGGGAATGTATTCAATTTTTTGAAATTTGTTAAATACATTGCTGGAACAATTTATTCGATTCGGTCTGTGTCTTGGGGGAAAACTAGCCAGGTTATTGAACAAGTAATTGAAAATAGCATATATCTTATGATTCATCGTGACTGATTAGCGCATGCTTCTATTAGATCAAATAAAACATACCTTCTATAATTCATCACGTGACGTGAAGTGGCTTCATTCATGAGAAAATAATATACTTTTCCAACAAATCACCAGAAATTTGTAATTTTCAGCAATAATAATAATAATAGCAAATTATAAGCATATCCAGTTTATTTTGGAAATCAGATTTGATAATGTGATAAAAAAAATATCACCTGATATGACTAATCTTTATATGTATAAGTGGCGTTCACGTTGGAGATCTCGGCACGTGGTCAAGACTTGGAACCGAGTCAGCATGTGTCGAAACTTGTGTGTGAACGATCAGTACTGAGTCGGCAACGTGCCGAAACTTGTGTGTTAACAGTCAGGGCCGAGTCGGAACGAGTCGAAACTTGTGTATGAACGGTTGGGACTGAGTCGGCATGTGCCGAGACTTGCAACCGAGGCGGCATGTGCCGAGACTTGGAACCGAGACAGCATGTGCCGAAACTTGTGTGTGAACGGTCAGGATCGAGTCGACAACGTGCCGAAAAAACTTGATCTTGGTCCTGATAGATGGTTGGAACCGAAACTCGGCATGTGCCAAGATTTGCTGCCTGAACGATCGGCATGAGTCGAAATCACATCTTGCAATGCTACATTGACGTGCAAAAATAATTGTTTTTTGAATCTTCTTTGCTGTTCATTTGCACGATGACTCGCAAAAAATACCATAACAACAAATGGATATAATTTCACTCAATATAGCAATTACTATTATCATCATATGCTTATCGTTTTTCCATGTTTGGGTCAAATAACAGATCGACGAATGAGGGCGTGATTTCGGCACAAGCCAAGTCCTATAAAGTGGGTCCCGACTAACATGAACATAGTTGCTGTAATCAGTTTGCAAACACAAAGAATTAAAAATTTCGGCACGTGCCGAGATCCCGTAACGTGAACGTAGTAGTAGATGGTTGAAATTTGTGGATGCATCAAAAACTTAATTGTTTCCAGTGTGTGGATAATCACATATGTCATCACTTGACTCATCAACTATGTCTTTAAATAAGAGTCATTTAGTGATAACCTCAGTGTATAATGTATTTTTAATCATTGGACACTGATTCATGTTTCTAGGAACCTCTTATTAAACTTTAGTACCTCTGGCCCCTCTAACTCAGTGTTGATAATAGGAACCTCTTATTAAACTTTAGTACCTCTGGCCCCTCTAACTCAGTGTTGATTAATTTATATCATAATCTGATATGTTTCTGAGTCCCTTATTTATTCTATTATAAGACCATTTGAATGCCAAAGTTTCAAAAATATACCTGTGTATAACGTTTTCTAAATTTGTCTTGATTTTGATCAAGACATACCAATTACTACCTTTTTTTTACGCTGATGTATTCCACACTGCTTATCTGACAGGTTATTTTACATAGAGCTCTATCACCATTGTGGGAATCCTATTCTGTTAATTAAATGGTTTAATATGAGACTACTGACATGAAATGCCTTTCTACAATGCTTTCTCAGGTGGGATATTGACCACGTCTAAGGTACAAATAAAAAATGAAAATTGAAGCCTGATTTCAATTTATTTTAATTTCAACATCTATTATAGTTATATCATGAAGAAGATTTTTCATTTCGTTCCATGTTTTTCCAATAACTCTCAGGTTTGTACATGTATCAATTGCAATGTCTCTGATAGTAGCACACACCTGAAGACAACTAATAGAGTTAAAAACCCTTATACTATTGACATGTAAATATCACATATTTGATCAGTTCATGACATTACCATAAATTCTTTAATTTAAAATCATTTTTTTTCTCAAAAGGTGACATTTTTAAATTGTAGACCAGACTGCATTTAAATCACCATAAGTACTGCGCAGTGAGCATTTAAAATGTTGTGTAAATAAACGATATTATTAGGCAATGAAACAGACATTTTAATAACAGCCACTGGCTGCTCGTTCCTTTCAATTATTTATTGTATAAAAATATACAGTGTAACTTTTACAAGGTAATTCATGTGTCTATAAAG